CCCCGCCACGGCCGTGAGGAAGGAGAGCACGGCCAGCCCCACGGCCAGGCACATCAAGGCCCGCAAGGCCTCGAGCGGCGGCGGCAGCGCCAGCACCGAGTCGTAGAACTTGCACTGCAGCCTGAGGCCCAGCTGGCTGATGCAGTCCATCCACAGCCCCTCCCAGATGGTCTCAAACACCACGATGTTGCCGTCCACGTAGGCCGAGACCCTCCACTGGGGCATGGCCGTGGCCGCCAAGGTGCCCACCATGCCCACGCCGCCAAAAATGAGCCCGGTGATCTGGAGCACGCAGCAATCCATGCTGCTGCTCCCAGAGCTGCTCCAGCTCCTGCCTGGGGCCACCAAGGCCACTTACAAAGTCACTCGGTGCCAAATCCACTTACAAAGTCACTCGGTGCCAAAGCCATTCGGTGCCAAAGTCACTCGCACAGGTACTGGACGCTGGGATGGGGAACTTCTGCTCTAGCAGCTTCCTGAGGAGACAGGTTGGGTTTGTGGGCCGAGGCTCGCTCCAGCCCGGAGTTCAAACAGGTGGAAATCCATTCCTGGCTGCTCCAAGACCCTGCTATTTATTTGCTTTGAAATCCTCTCAGTGCAGCCCATCAAGCCCGACAAGTCTGTGGCCAATGGCAGTCTGGGAGAGGTGTGGCAGGGCTGATTTCACTGCTCCTCATAGCCAGTCTGAAGTGCTGCTATAATTAAGCGAGTGGCAGGGATTCAATTAAAGGTGCCTAATTGCAGGGCTAACAATTTCTTAACTGCAAGATTGCAACTCTGTTGAAATCCAGTACAGAAAGCCTGAACTTCCATCTGCTAAAATATTGTTTAAAATGGGTCATTACAGCTGTTCTTACAACAAAGGCTGAACTTGAGGCTTGAGTGGGGCTCATTTTCTAAGTGCTGCAGCCTTGGGAAAGCAACTGATTATCATTTTCATTTAAATCAAGCCAACAGGTACTTGATGTAGCCCTTTAATGCAGATTTCTCATTTTGATCAACTACAAAAGCCTAATCATGATATCAGACAGGTACAGGAAAGTCAAGTATTCCCACCAACATCAAAGCTTCCCTCTACCAGCTCCAAAATGCACAAGGGTAACAGAGCAAAGAAGTGGCTGAGCCGCTCCGCTCCTGCCCTGGATGCAGGAGCAAAGGCACAGTTAGGAGATAATCCTCCAGGAGAGGGAGAAGCAAAGTGTTGTCATCCTGTTCCACACAGGTAATCGTGGCCAGGTGACCCAGGGCGGCTGGGGGCAATGGTTCGACCCCAAACGACATTTCCAAATGTGGGAAGGATGTGCAACAACGCCCAAATCCCGAGTTCCTCTCACAAAGCCACAGCCCAGCCTGCAGATCCCTGGGCAGACACATTCCAGAGGCTGATCCTCCCCAGGCTGCCCAGGGATTGCTGCTGCTCAACTTACTCCAGCTCTTGAACCAGGTACAAAATACAAGCTAAAAAAAATTGGCCCACCAAAGACAATAAAAGCCCCTAGAAGTGCTGCTGGAGAAAGACTTGTTCCGGGTTTTGTTTTCGGCTTGTGGACTCTGTGTTGTTGTCTGATATTTGGAAATATCAGACATTGCCTTTGATGGTAATAATTTAATATAGCTTTAGGTACCTACACAACACCATCAAAGCCAAAGCTAAATCCACAGAAAGAGGAAGGGAGAGGAAGGGAGAGGAAGGGAGAGGAAGGGAGAGGAAGGGAGAGGAAGGGAGAGGAAGGGAGAGGAAGGGAGAGGAAGGGAGAGGAAGGGAGAGGAAGGGAGAGGAAGGGAGAGGAAGGGAGAGGAAGGGAGAGGAAGGGAGAGGAAGGGAGAGGAAGGGAGAGGAACGGAGAGGAAGGG